CCATGCCGCAATCCCTTCTCCTCCATTCTCCTCTCGGGATCTTGGGCACGCATGCACACGCACCCGGCGTGAGTTTTAAGCCACGGGGTCCGGGACACGAACTGTGGTCGACTTCGTGGGAGTTCAGCGACATAGCCATTATGTTAACTGCTGGTTCCCCCATATTAACCATTTTTAAGTGTACAGTTCAGTGGTATTAAATATTCATAAAGTTGCACAACCGTTATCACCATCTATCTTTTTTTTTTCTTTTTTTTGGAGAGGTTTTTGCTATAGGGCGCGTGCGCTCGCCAGACAGACAGAGAGAGACAGAGAGACAGAAAACGAGAAATCACCCCCCGGGGGGATGGCCACGCTGCAATCCCTTCTCCTCCATTCTCCTCTCAGGATCTTGGGCACGCACGCACACGTGCCTGGCGTGAGTTTTAAGCCACCGGGTCTGGGACGCGAACCACGGTCAACTACGTGGGAGTCCAGCGACATAGCCATTCCGCTAACTGCTGGTTCCCACCACCATCTATCTTCATAACTCTTTTCATCTTGGAAAACTGAACCTCTGGAGCCAGTCTGTAGCCTGGTGGTTACATGAGCTGGTTCCGACATGGCTAACTACACGGTTGGAGTCTCAGACCTGACAACTTGAAAACATGCCAGGAACATGATGTGCATGCCCCAAATCCCAAAAGGAGGGAGAAATGGAGGGCAAGGAATTGCAGCATGGCCATTCCTCCATGGGGTACTTTCTTGCTTTCTCTCTCTCTGTCTCTGTCTCTCTCTGGTAAGAACATGCACCCTTAGCAATTAAAGACAAGAAACATGAACAGAAAAAAAAAAACAACAGTGAACCTCTGTATCCATTCAACAGTAACTCTCCACCCCTTCCACCCCCTCCTGGCAACCAACATTCAACTGCCTATGAATTTGTCTCCTTGACGTACCTCATGTGAGTGGAGTCACATGCTATTTGTCTTTTTGTGGTGCGCTTATTTTGCTTGTCCTCTAGGTGCATCTATGTTATAGCATGTATCAGAATTTCTTTCCTGTTTAAGGCTGAAAACCATTCCATTGTGTTTTGCTTATCCATTTATTTGTCAATGGACACTTGGATTGCTTCCATGCTTTAGCTATCCTGAATAATACTGTTAGAAACGTGGATGTACAAATATCTCTTTGAGACTCTATTTTCAATTTATTCAGGTATATATCCAGACACTGATTACTCTGTTCACTCCCTAAGCAATCTCATTCAACTCCTCCAACCTTTGCTCATTATCTCATCAGCATGCGCACTTTCCCTGCTCGAGAACCCCCAGGTTAGCCTAAGTACTAGATATACTTGATTCTTATTCACTGGTGAGTGCATTGCATCATCTGTCTGGACATCTAAATAAATTCCTGGTGAGCAATTATGCCCACTCTGGGCAAAGTGATCCAAATAACTTTCTAGGTTATTATCAGTACATCCCCAAACTGTTCCCACCTCCAGTTTCAGAAATCTGTATTCAACATGCTTTCGACATCATTCTATCAATGTCACTTTTTTGATGAATTTCCTCCTAGAGTTTTTGCCCTCCTCCAGTCCGCCATATTGACTAATGCCCTTCACTGCTATGGTTTTAGATTTTCCCCTGGCGATCATCTTACCTTTCTCATGAGTTGAGATCTTGTTTCCTGGATTCCATTTTCTCTTCTTTTGTTTTGGTTGAACAAATCTTCTGATAGCTGACTGAGAAATGGCCCTGTGAGGTAATGTTTTTTTGACTTTATATGTTTGGAAACATCTATATTGCGACCCCCTCTACTTAATTAATAATTTGGCTACAAATAGAATTCTAGATTGGAAATCATTCCCTTCTACTATCTTGTATTGTAGCATCCAGGGTTGCCAATAAGTCTAAAACCATTCTGAAACCTGATTCTTTTAGAATCTTGTTTTCTTTTCTGAAAGCTTTTAGAATATTCTCTTTGTCCACAGAGTTCTGCAGTTTCATAATGAGGTGTCTCAGGGTAGGCTTGTTTTCATCCATTGTACTGAGAGCTCAATAAGCCCTTTCAATTTGGAAAGTCATGTCCTTTTGTTCCAGGAAATTTTCTAGAATTGTTTCTTTGATAATTTCCCCCCTTCTATTTTCTGTTCTTTCTCCCTGGAACTTTCATTATTCAGATATTGAACTTCCTGGACTAGTCTGTACCATTTTTTACCACCCCTCCCCTTTCTGCCTTTTTATACTTTTGTTTTACTTTCTGAGATATTCCTTCAACTTACATTTTAAACTTTGACCTGAAATTTTCTTTTAAACTATGGTATTTTTACTATCCAAGAGCTTATTTTTGCCTTCCAATTGCTACTTTAAGAAATGTGTAGTCTATAGTGTGTGTTTTGTGGCTATAATATCTTACAATATTTCTCTATAAATTCTTGAAAATATTAATAATAGGTTTTTGTCTCCATCCTTATTTTTCCTAGTTACTTTTCTGTATTAGTTTGTTTTGGCCTCTCTCTTATTAGAATAGTCTGTCAACTGTCTAGAGAGCCTTGCCTGTCTTTCCATAGCTAGGAGAGAGGCACTACAAAGGTTTCTGGAAGTGTATTTTGGTTGGACTTGTGAACCGCCATTTTCACTGAAGGCTAATCTATTGTTCCAAACTATGGGAAGGAGGTGAGGGTAGAATGCTTGGGTTCTTGACATTCGGTTATAAACGTTGGGTAGGTTGCTAGATTAGAGTTTGGATTTTTGGGGGACTGGCAAGTCAGTTACTACTCAACTATAGTTTCCCAGCATCCAAATAGCAGTGTTACTGCTATTTCATCTTCCATTATGTATGAGCTTGTAGACTTCTACTTAAAAAAAAATCATTTACAATAGTTTGGTGGCATTTCAGGAGGAACAGACATTACCATGAGTGTTATCTACTATTTCTAATAGGAATTAAAGCATACACACCCTTAATATATGATTATTAAAGTGTCTGCCTTTTGCGCCTTTGCTAAATTTGCCAGCCGCATCCCGTGTCCATCCTGTACTCTAGTTGCCTTTCATTTTCTTGAATTCACCATGTCCATGTTATAAAATACCATGTGCTGGGACCAGCAGATGGCATAATGGTTACGTTGCTGGACTCCCATGTAGTCAACTGTGGTTCGAGTCCTGGGCCCAGTGGCTTCGGCTCATGCTGTGTGTGTGTGTACATGTGTGCCCAAAATCCCAATAGGAGAATAGAGGAGAAGGGATTTTGGCATGGCTATCCCCCCTGAGGGAGGGGGTGATTTCTCACTTTCTATCTCTCTGTCTCTTTCTGTCTTTCTAGTGAGTGCATGTGCACTATAGCAAAAATCTCTCTTAAAATAAATAAATAAATAAATAAAACAAAATACCATGTGCTTTATTTTATTTTGTTTTTGAATCAGGATTAAATAAAAATTTCTGCCTTACTTTTGATTGTTATATCTCTTTAATTTCTTTTAATCTACAAATGCCCCTCCCCCATTTTTTCCTCTTTATTTTTTTTTCATGAACAAATATTGACATGGATATGGAACACTTTGAAAAATCCAGGTCAGTAAACTTGTAAAATATCTTACATTGTGGACTTGTCTGATTGCTAAACATTTTTATCAGGAATACTACATGGGTAGTAGGAATACCTTTTATTGCCTTACATTAGGGAATGTGTGGCCCATCTCTATTGGTGATGCTACATTTTTTAAAAAAGAATTATTTAATTTAATTTATTTATTCATTTTAAATTTGACCAGAGATGGGGAGAGAGAGAGAGAAAGTGAGAAAGTAAGCTGCCGGGTCTGGGACTTGAGTCATGGTTGGCCATGTGGGAGTCCAGTGCCCCTAGCCACCACACCACTTGCTGGGGCTATGGGTTACTTTTTTTTTTTTGGAGAGAGAGGATTTTGCTATAGGGTGCGTGTGCTCACTGGAGAGACAACGAGAAAGAGAGACAGGAAGCGAGAAATCACCTCCCCCAGGGGGATGGCCACACCACAATCTCTTCTCCATTATCCTCTCAGGGTTTTGCACATGCATGCACATGTGCCTGGGGTGAGTTTCAAGTCCTGGGTCCAGGACTCAAACTGCTGCTGACCAAGTGAGAGTCCAGTGCCTTAACCACTATGGCTCCTGCTGGCCCCCTTACATTTCATCACTTGAGTAAAGGCATAACAGACAATCTCTCTATTGTGAATATAATCCTTGCAGAATTATCACTGCTATGGTCTGAATGTTTGTATATGATCCCAAATTTATATGTTGAAACTAATCCCCACTGAGATAGTATCAGAGTGGGGCTTTTGTGAGGTGATTGTCCTGAAGGTGGAAGAAAGAGTAGGATGTTTTTGGTAGAAGAGCTGCATTTCTGAACTTAGCTGCTCCTAACAGGATTTGCTTGGACTGACCAAAAGGCATAAGGTTTTAGTTTCCTAAGGTATTATCTCCTGATGACTTTCACATCCATGTGCAGAGTTCAGTTACAGCACTGGCCTCTTGCCAGAAGCTTAGTTCTGATGGATGCAATGTGATACGTTGAAATTGATAGTGTTAAAAATGAGGACCTTTAGTTGATGACACATCTGTATCCTATACACAATAATACCGAAGGGTATAACTGATGAATTGTATATTGGTTAGAAATGGTGTTAGATATTTACTCATGTAAATTTTTTTAAAAAATTTACTTTATTTTATATACAAATAGCCAGCATTTCTTTCACTGGGTGGATATCTTGGACAATCCATTCAAGGAAGATCATTTAGTCCAACTTGACAAAGCCTATGTCCTTCGCGTACTGACGGAAACACTGACGGCACATGTTGAGGCCGTATTTCTGGATCAGACCGTGTTGGTTTGAGCACACGCGGCAAGAGCGAGAGCCCAGGCCGAATTTTCACGAGTGGCTCCAGTAAAGCTGCTGATGACCCATCCTGCTTCCAGCGGAGCAATGAAGCAAAAGGGCTCATGTAAACTTCTATAGTACAAATTATATAACAATGAAAAACATGAATGTTATGCCATTATAATACTTAGGCATGGTGTAACAGGAGGGGAGAATTGGCCCTTTTCATTTTTATTTTTCAATGTATGCTTCAACCCTGGTAGTTTATATTCTTCAAAACTATTCTGGGGCCAGCAGGTGGCATAGTGGTTAAGGTGCTAGACTCCTACATGACCAACCATAGTTCAAGTCCCAGACCTGGCTGCTTGAAACTCATTCTGTGTGTGTGTGTGTGTGTGTGTGTGTGTGTGTGTGTGTGTGAACATGTGTATATGCAAAATCCTACGAGGAGAATGAGGAGAGGGGATTATGGTGTGGCCATTCCCCCTTGGGGGGGGGGAATCACCCCCTTGGGGCTGATTTCTCACTTTACCTCTCACTGTCTCTCTCTCCAGCTAATGTACACACCCCAAAAACCTTAAACACAAAACAAAAACTATTCTGCTAATTTATGTTTCATATCATTTGGATGTTTTTGCAACTTCTTTGTTCTTCCTATACTCATTCGCAAGTAGATCATTTACTTAGGTCCCTAGGTCTCTTAAAATGTGTGATAAAATATATAGAATTATCTCTCAAACAGACAAATGTAGGTCTTATTCCTGAACGAGCCTGGAGGT